GGCAAGATCAAAAAAGATCAGAAAATTAAGATTGTATCAGCTCTAGATTTCAATACCTGTTGTTTGTTGTCAGTATCGATATCCCAGCACATCGGTCCCACCCAGTCGGGTTCCGTCCTCCGATACAGCAGCCATCTCGGTGTCTTCATGCTCAACGTACCCAGTAGGAGTTGGTTAGTATATCCTCTGATTTAACACAGCAACGGTTTATGCATGTTTGTACTTGTTTTATACCCATTTCCAACAGGTGGTTCACCGTATCTAACTCCTTTGTCTCAGCGTCTCTGGAACGCATCGATTTTATTGATTTATAAATCCGCCATGTTTCAGAGTCCAGCTCTAGGCCGTTGTGTAGTCGAGAAAGTGTTAAGATAGTCCGCTGCTTCTTCAGAATTGCGAGCCTATGATGTTCAGTCTTGACCCGCTTCTACTCATCTCTCTGATTAGCAATATTTTCCCGCCTGGCGACTCCAAGTGTTCGTAGGTCTTTATACACATTATACCTTTCTACCGTCTTCTTGGTCTGCTGTGTTGTGTGTGTGTGTTTCCCTCCTTCATTCATTAATTCATTCATTCATTCATTCATTCATTCATTCAATCATTCATTCATTGTCCCGTTGTGCCATTCTATCCTATACAGTCAGTTCATTATCTTGGCCTCTCTCATCAACCTTCATTTTCGGGTTTCTTTTGTATGTACCCGCCTCCTTCATTCCTTCATTTCTCATTGTAATGATCGTTTAGTTGTTCTCTGCTGGTTTCTTCTCAAGATGTGTCCAATGAAAGGCCATCTTCTTTGTCTTGTAACTGTTGATTCTTGTGTGATGTGTCCAATGTAACGCCATCTTCTTTGTTTTGTAACTGTTGATTCTTGTGTGTTGTGTCCAATGTAACTCCATCTTCTCTGTCTTGCAACTGTTGATTCTTGTGTGTTGTGTCCAATGTAACGCCATCTTCTCTATCTTGTAACTGTTTATTCTTGTGTGTTGTGTCCAATGTAACGCCATCTTCTCTGTCTTGTAACTGTTGATTCTTGTGTGTTGTCTCCAATGTAACTCCATCTTCTCTGTCTTGTAACTGTTGATTCTTGTGTGTTGTGTCCAATGTAACGCCATCTTCTCTATCTTGTAACTGTTGATTCTTGTGTGATGTGTCCAATGTAACGCCATTTTCTCTGTCTTGTAACTGTTGATACTTGTGTGTTGTGTCCAATGTAACGCCATTTTCTGTCTTGTAACTGTTGATACTTGTTTGTTGTGTCTAATGTAACGCCATCTTCTCTGTCTTGTAACTGTTGATTCTTGTGTGATGTGTCCAGTGTAACGCCATCTTCTTTGTCTTGTAACTGTTGATTCTTGTGTTATGTGTCCAGTGTAACGCCATCTTCTCTGTCTTGTAACTGTTGATTCTTGTGTGATGTGTCCAGTGTAACGCCATCTTCTCTGTCTTGTAACTGTTGATACTTGTGTGATGTGTCCAATGTAACGCCATCTTCTCTGTCTTGTAACTGTTGATACTTGTGTGTTGTGTCCAATGTAACGCCATCTTCTCTGTCTTGTAACTGTTGATTCTTGTGTGTTGTGTCCAATGTAACGCCATCTTCTCTGTCTTGTAACTGTTGATATTTGTGTGTTGTGTCCAATGTAACGCTATCTTCTCTGTCTTGTAACTGTTGATACTTGTGTGTTGTGTCCAATGTAACACCATCTTCTCTGTCTTGTAACTGTTGATTCTTGTGTGATATGTCCAATGTTACGCTATCTTCTCTGTCTTGTAACTGTTGATACTTGTGTGTTGTGTCCAATGTAACGCCATCTTCTCTGTCTTGTAACTGTTGATTCTTGTGACTGTCCTGGTATTTCTCTTAATTTTTCACTTCTTTTGAATTTATCGCATTTTATTTTGTTTAATGGTCTCATAAATGTGTTTTTGAATGCATTTAACTTTCGTTACATGTCTTTAGTGGTTCTCAAACTGTCACTTGCAGATTTTAAAACTGAAGTAACATAAGAATTGAAAAAATGTAACTTGGTTTTAGAACTATACAATGTGGAGTTCCATATTGTGTTCAAGGATTAAGATCTGCTGTTACTTTGCCAGAGTGTGTCATAATTTCTTTATTCTGCTGTGGTTTCCTTCCGTGTAACTCTTTTGTGTGTGCAGTTTATTCAAAAACGATAAACAGAGAAGCTAATAACGGTCCCAAAGAACCGCAGTATAGCAAGCATACAAGGGGCATTTCGAGTCGTAAGCGACAGTGCCAAAGTGCACTCACATAAAATCATGCATGTGTTTGTGTCAGTCAGTGCAGATTGCGCGAGGTGTGATCGGAAGTCTGACAGAAATAGCCGCCAAACAAAATGACAAAGAAATAAATCACTTACAAATGTCAGAAGAAAAGTGACGGTTAGTGTGCAATGTAGAATCATTGAACTTTACTTTCACAGGGTTGAAAACTGTGCATGCAAGCCTGTCCTATATTATGTCCTTATTTCCTTGTCTCTCTCTCTCTCTCTCTGTATCTCTCTCTCTCTCTCTCTCTCTGTGTGTGTGTGTATCTCTCTCTGTATATATCTCTCTGTGTATCACTCTCTCTCTCTGTATCTCTCTCTGTGTATCTCTCTGTGTATCTCTCTGTGTGTGTATCTCTCTGTGTGTGTCTCTGTGTGTGTGTCTCTCTCTGTGTATATATCTACCTCTGTATCTCTCTCTGTGTATCTCTCTCTGTGTATCACTCTCTCTCTGTGTATCTCTCTCTGTGTATCTCTCTCTGTGTATCTCTCTCTGTGTATCTCTCTCTGTATCTCTCTCTCTGTATCTATCTCTGCATCTCTCTTTGTGTGTATCTCTCTCTCTGTATCACTCTCTCTGTGTATCTCTCTCTGTGTATCTCTCTCTGTGTATCTCTCTCTGTGTATCTCTCTCTGTATCTCTCTCTCTCTGTATCTATCTCTGCATCTCTCTTTGTGTGTATCTCTCTCTGTGTATCTCTCTCTGTCTCTCTCCCTGTGTATCTCTCTCTCTCTGTCTCTCTCTGTCTCTCTCTCTCTCTCTCTCTCTCTCTCTCTCAGTTCATACTCAAGAGCTGACAGTCTCCCACCTCCTCCTAGACCTACCCATTTTCTGGGGCAGGGCGCTCAAAATGCTTGATCCTTTCGGGTCCTTCTCCTATGCTTCCCATCACATCGGTAGCACAGACGCCGGGAAAGATTACATGAACTTCCATTGTTGCTGGAATCAAATGGGGATATCAATAGACACCGCTAGGCCAGCCGATCGAACACTGGCGGTAAAATCTCAAGGCCGTGAGTTCCTAGCAGACGTGATCGATAGGCCGATATGGGAGGGGGAGGGGAAGACGGGCTGCACTTTTGCTCTACTAGCGGGTTACCGTGGGGTTAACCAATCATTAACAGTGGTAAAATAGTATTGCGTATTAGAGGGTGCCAGTCATTCAGGTGTGTTAGACTGGGGTATCATAATGGCACTAATAATTCCAGGGTGGCAATGGAATGTAAAATCATTCGGGTGTGATAAAGTGAGAAATGCTGTAACGACACTATTCATTGGGACGCTGGACTAGGGGAGTGTTATCATGGCACCGATCATTCACGTGTGTTAGTGTGGGAAGTGTGATAATAGCACCAATAATGTTTTGTTATCAAAATTGACGTATTTGCACACTAGGCATCCCCATACGTGCTCAGTTCTCCGATTAAGCAGCCACTCCAAGGTACCTCTACTGATTGTCCCTATGAGGAGTTGGTTATGGTATCTCATGTCTTTACCTCGAAGACAACATAGACTTGGTTCATCAAGCTAAACTCTTCGGTCACGCAGTCGTGTTAGCTTCAGAGATTCGCTGTTATCCCTCAGATGATATCAGCTCTGTCCATGATTCTTCCTGTTGGCATTGGTGCATTACTTGCCAGCTGGTCAGCTCTCTCATTTCCAGTTACTCCTGAGTGATCCAGATGGTGGAGGTTAACTGCGACTTTCGAATGCTTTCTACCCTTTTAAAGCGTATACCTGTTTTATGAAGCATGTTCATAGAGTCTGGAACGATTACAGCATGTGTGGCCGCTTGCTCTGCAAACCATTCGAGTGCTTTAGAAGCAGCAGTTATCTCCATGGTTAGGCTTGACGTTGTCGTCTGGTAAGCGCCACTGTTTTCCTTTATTGCTGTCCCCATCCTTTGTGCTGTGTTTGCCCATGCCTATCTTGTCTCGCGCCTCACGGATTCATCTGTGTAAATGACGACGTCTTCTGGGCATAAATGCTGAATAATGTTTGCAACAGCACCAATCATTTTGGTGTTCGACTGGTGAATCTTACAATGGAACCAATAATTTTGGCGTTGAACTGGTGAATCTTACGATGGAACCAATCATTTTGGCGTTCGACTGGTGAATCTTACAATGGAACCAATAATTTTGGCGTTGAACTGGTGAATCTTACAATGGCACCAATCACATTGGGGTTGAACTGGTGAATCTTACGATGGAACCAATCATTTTGGCATTGGACTGGCGAATCTTACAATGGCATCAATCATTTTGGCGTTGGACTGGTGAATCTTACAATGGCATCAATCATTTTGGCGTTGGACTGGCGAATCTTACAATGGCACCAATCACTTTATCGTTGAACTGGTGAATCTTCCGATGGTACCAATCATTTTGGCGTTGGACTGGTGAATCTTACAATGACACAAATCATTCGCGTCGTGTAGAATGGGTAGTTCGACAGTGACAACAGTATTTAGGAAGGTTAGAGTAGGAAGTGTATATAATGAGACAAATCATGCGTTTACTAGGACAATTACTTTAAAATTAAGGTTTTCATAACGTGCCTAATGGTACCAGTATTGTTATTACTGCAATTTGTATTATTATTATTATTACTGTGTTGAATGTGAAATAGATATAATAATCTATTTGGGGAAAAAATATTACACGTACAAACAAAGTATTAAAAAGACGACGCCGATACATGGTTAGGCAAGCGGGGGGAGGGAGAGGGGCGTGGCTCTATGCATCCCCCCTCCCTCGCGAATAGTGTTGGCTGGCTCAGCTGCCCTAAAATTTTGGGACGGGGGGGGGGGGGTGTCTTCTAGGTGTTTGAGCCCTTCCCCCCCCCCCCCCCCGTCCCCCAGGTTCGACGCCTGTGGAGAAAATGGTACTGGTTCAGTGCAAAGAGTTCTTCCGGCGGGCCGTCAGTGGAAAGTTCTGTATCAAAAGAGATGACGTACGTATAGGAGTTCCTGCAATCGACTTTATATCCGAAAAGTAACTCAACAGACAAATCTGTCACTAGGTAGCTAAACTAAGTTTCTAACCCCACGGTGCACATCTTCACCTACTTTTATCAAAATTGTATTTGTTTTATTTTTATTTTAATATGTTTCCCCTTCTTTTCCCTCGCTTTTTCAGGTATTTTTTTTTTTTGTTTCATAATAGCTCTTCCTGTCCATATAATCTCATTTTACTATTTCCGGTTTCACATTGTCTTTGTCTGTAGTCTAATTTTTTTTTTCGTAGTTCAATTCTTCTGTTGTTTTGTCCGTCGAAAAAAAAAATTTGACCTAAACGTTCCACTATATTTGTGGGCGTCATTTCTTTTTCTTTTCTTTGAGCTCTCTGTGAAAAGAAACAAACGCATAGTTATCGGGAAAAGGCGTTTTTTTTTTAGTTGACAAAAAACATGTAGGTTGAAAAACTATCAATGACCCAGTTGCGAAAAGTCATCAATTGATTCGTTGAACTCTATGATATTTTCGTGTGCAATTTGAACAATTTTACTTGATAAATTACAAAAATTTTGAGTTGCAAATCTACGACAAAGTTATTTTTCTTTCAGTATCTGTTCTTAATAGTAAAGCGCCAAAGGAAAACTATTTTATTTTACTACGACACAGTTATTACGCAGTTTTGTTTGTAATTGTTCTGTCGCAATCATTCTCTTAGACAGTTAGATATTTCTAAGCCATGTCACTATTTCTGTAACAAATTATAATTGATACAAGTAGGCGCGTATTTCTTTCTGGCGGCATTTCAAAAGTGCTGCCAAAAATGGAGCTGGCATGTCGATGCTATATCGATTTATTATTATCTTGTGAGGACAGCTTACAGGGAATGTCGCTTCCCAAGCCTGCGCATACAGTAACCTGGCTTCATCGACCGATTCACAGACAGACAGACAGACAACTAACACAAAGAGATACTGCGTGAGGATTATACAGACAGACATCCAACACAAAGAGATTCCGCCTGAGGATTTCACTACAGACTGACAGACAGCGGCTGGTGCTACTCATCGAGCCATGGTTCGCAATCTGTTCCTCCCCCGCCGCTTAACGGTAAGTGTGAAAATTGACTATGATGATGCTGCTGAACGACAAACGAATATAGTCAACAATATATTAAGACAAAATCATTGAAACGAGAAAACATCAGACAAGACATATTCTTTGAAAATGAAACAGCAGAGAAATCAGACAGGACAGACAGACAGACAGACAGACAGACAGACAGACAGACAGACAGACAGACAGACAGACAGACAGACAGACAGACAGACAGACAGACAGACAGACAGACAAAAAAGGCAGACAGACAGTTAGGCTCCGAGGCCGAGCGTTCTCAAGGTCAGGATTTCGTTTTCCGGATGCGTTGTTAATTTCAGAAGTACATTTTCACAGAGATCTTTTCGGATCATCGCTGGTGGTAAGGAGGTCGTGCTTTGTGCGACCATCCCGACAAACTAGCCTTTCTGCGGAAATAAACGAGCTTCATGGGAAAAGCAGGTGTAAAGAAACTGATCCTGGAAATCTTTAACGTTTAACAAGACGGTTCTCGGCTAAATGGAAGACAATACAGGTAATAAAGGAGGAGGGATTGCATGAAGAAGGCAAGAAAGTCTCAAGAGAATAATAGAATAGGCACATAAAGTAACAACAACGAAATAAAAAGAAAGAAAGAAAAAGAAAGAAAGAAAGAAAGAAAGAAAGAAAGAAAGAAAGAAAGAAAGAAAGAAAGAAAGAAAGAAAGAAAGAAAGAAAGAAAGAAAGAAAGAAAGAAAGAAAGAAAGAAAGAAAGAAAGAAAGAAAGAAAGAAAGAAAGAAAGAAAGAAAGAAAGAAAAAAAGAAAGAAAGAAAGAAAGATCATAATAATGAACTGGAACAAAGCAAAAATAATTAAATGTGACATTCATTGTAACTTATTTCTTGTCCTATTACTTGTCAAACAACACTACAAGGCTCGGTACGTGGGGGAACATAGATCCAGCATCTATCAGACACAACAGGACTCTAGTACGAGGACATCAAAATGTAGCGCATCTTACTGCCAGAAATAGAAAGACCCGGTCAAACAAACAACTGCAGCAAGATAATCTAATGACACACGGTGTTACCAGACAATCTAATGACACACGGTGTTACCAGACAATCTAATGACACACGGTGTTACCAGACATTTTAATGACACACGGTGTTACCAGACAATCTGATGACACGCGGTGTTACCAGACAATCTAATGACACGCGGTGTTACCAGATAATCTAATGACACACGGTGTTACCAGACAATCTAATGACACACGGTGTTACCAGACAATCTAATGACACACGGTGTTACCAGACAATCTAATGACACGCGGTGTTACCAGACAATCTAATGACACGCGGTGTTACCAGATAATCTAATGACACACGGTGTTACCAGACAATCTAATTACACACGGTGTTACCAGACAATCTAATGACATACGGTGTTACCAGACAATCTAATTACACACGGTGTTACCAGACAATCTAATGACATACGGTGTTACCAGACAATCTAATGACACACGATGTTACCAGATAATCTAATGACACACGGTATTACCAGACAATCTAATGAAATACGGTGTTACCAGACAATCTAATGACACACGATGTTACCAGATAATCTAATGACACACGGTGTTAGCAGACAATCTAATGACACACGGTGTTACCAGACATTTTAATGACACACGGTGTTACCAGACAATCTGATGACACACGGTGTTAGCAGACAATCTAATGACACACGGTGTTAGCAGACAATCTAATGACAAACGATGTTACGAGATAATCTAATGACACACGGTGTTACCAGACAATCTAATGACACACGGTGTTACCAGACAATCTAATGACAAACGATGTTACGAGATAATCTAATGACACACGGTGTTACCAGATAATCTAATGACACGCGGTGTTACCAGACAATCTAATGACACACGGTGTTACCAGACAATAGATCATCAATGGTCGTTTTTCTTTCAGTAATAACACATGCAGGCTTTCAAATGTTGACTAGTCCCCCTAGAACCAGCAAACAAAGACTTTCTCCCGCGTCCTTCGTGCAGTCCTCATCAATACCAGCCTACATCTCACCTTGATGTCTATTGTTACCGACTCATTGTTTCCGTAATCCTACAGGCATAATCGATGTGCACATTCTCAGATATCGATTTCAATTTCATATACATAGTCATCATCATGATGTAGCAGGTCCTTTGCAGAACGTCGCTCTTTTCACAGTCTGCCTGAAAGAAACTCGGTCTCTCGCCAGTTCTCCCGCCTCATGTACTTTCATACTCAAGGAGTCACTTATATCCTGTGCCCATCTTCGTGTCGGTCGGCCCCTGTCCCTCCTTCCTGGTACATGCCTTCTGCTATAATTTTTTCCAATCCGTCGTAGCGTTTGATATAACCAAAATATTTCAGCTTCCGAGACAGGATGCTGTTTATTAGCCAATCTTTCTTCATGTTCAGATCTTTCAAGATGTCAGTATTTCTTCTCTTCTTTGTCCAAGATATTCTAAGAATCTTTCTATAGCATTTCAGCTCAAAAGCCCCTATTCTCTTTCTTAACGACTGAGAGATAGTCTACGACTCACATCCGTAATATACATAGTATCAAAGTGATACCAGGAATTTCATACAAGACTATCCGAGCGGTTTCGCTTCAAATGTGTGTAGTCGATGTATCGGTGCATTAAAAGGTTTGATGCGCCAGCTATTGCTAGTTTGAACTAAACAACGCCCGGTATGTTGTAATAGCTGTCACATTTTGTCTGAAAATTTAACTAAATCTGACATGTTATTTTAACGTACAACACAGTAAAGCTAGATTTCTTAAAGTTCTTTGTTTTTCGTGTGGTGTCAGTCATGACATCGGATGGAATAAGGGCAGCTGAGTTCGTCTGTACAGTTGTTGTTTTTGTTGATGCTGCTGCGGCAACAGCAGCAGTAGTAGCAGCAGGAGCAGCAGTAGTAGTAGTAGCAGCAGGGATAGTAGTAGTAATAGCAGCAGCAGCAGCTTCAGTGGTGGTGGTAGTAGTAGTAGTAGCAGCAGCAGTATTGTAGTAGTAGTAGTAGTAGTAGTAGTAGTAGTAGTAGTAGTAGTAGTAGTAGTAGTAGTAGTAGTAGTTGTTGTTGTTGTTGTTGTTGTTGTTGTAGTAGTAGTAGTAGTAGTAGTAGTAGTAGTAGTAGTAGTAGTAGTAGTAGTAGTAGTAGTAGTAGTAGTAGTAGTAGTAGTAGTAGTAGTAGTAGTAGTAGTAGTTGTAGTAGTAGTAGTGATAGTAGTGATAGTAGTAGTAATAGTATTAGTAGTAGTAATTGTTGTTGTTGTTGCTGTTGTCTTTGTTGTTGTTGTTCACTGTACATTTATTTATTGATGTAAGTGAGTGACCGACAGTCACACAAACTGGAAAAAACATAACACAGACAGACAAATGTGAAAGGAAATTTGAAAATATGTAGTTTTGTAGACAAGTAGGTAGACAAATGAGTAGGTAAGTTAACAGGTAAATAGATGGGTGAGCGAGTGGTCAGAACAACAGACAGACATGTTGGTAGGTAAGTAGGCAGACAGGCAGACTGGCAGACAACAAATACAAACATACCTAAAGATACCCAGATGTGTGAAAACCAACAACGCCAGGCATGTCTTGTAATCGCCAGGAAAAATGTCTGCCCAAGCCGAGAGATCGGATTGACCTATTGAAGCATCCAAACCCGGCTAAGTTCCTTTGGCAAAGAAAAACGAGGGAAACGTGGACTGATCGAGAGCAGACGGCTCTAAAAGGAGAATATTTCGACTGCGGCCAAAATTGATCGACGACAGAACAGAGGGAGGTGGGAAAGTGGAACAGAAATGTGTGCTGTGGAAGCTTTGTGGAAGAGACATCGTGAAAGAACGGCACGGTCATCGATCAGACAAAATCCGGCGACGGGGTGCAGCCAGGGGAAGGGGCGGGCGGTTTCCTTTTTTTTTTCAGGGTTTCCATTTAAACCCTGTCACTTGGGTTTCCACGGCAACGAAGAGCTGTCGGTAAACGAGCACTAAATTTCTGCGAGAGTTTAATGCCGACACCGCCGAAAATCCTTTTCCCATCAAAGGTCAAAAGTAAACACGGAGGTAACAACGACAGAAAGAAAAGTTCATGCAAAACAAAATATTTTTGGCTTCAAAAATTTGTCAGAAATTGCTTTTGCTTTATTGTGTATGTGAGTTTAAATAAATGAGACATGATTTCTGTGAAATATGTAGAAATTAAAATAAACAGGCCGAAAATAGATTAAAACACTCGTTAAGAAGCAAATTAAAATCGCAGATTGATTCGATCGGCAGTTCCCAGGCAGACTGATTCGATCGGTGATTCCCAAGCAGATTGATTCGATCGATGGTTCCTAGGCAGATTGATTCGATCGACAGTTCCCGTGCAGATTGATTTGATCGGTGGTTCCCAGGCAGATTGATTCAATCGGCGGTTCCCAGGCAGATTGATTCGATTAGTGGTTCCCAGGCAGATTGATTCAATTGGCGGTTTCCAGGCAGATTGATTTGATCGGTGGTTCCCAGACAGATTTATTTGATCAGTGGTTCCCAGACAGATTGATTCGATCGACGGTTCCCAGGCAGATTGATTCGATCGACGGTTTCCAGGCAGATTGATTCAATCGACGGTTCCCAGGCAGATTGATTCGATCGGGGGTTCCCAGACAGATTGATTTGATCGGCCGTTCACAGCTTCCTAATATCTGAGAACGCTGATTTCCTTCACTACAATCATCAAGGTAGAAGATTTTTTTTTATATAAGTATAAGAAAGAAGCAAATGACTATGTGTAGTCATGTGTAGTCATGTGTAGTCATGTGTAGTCATGTGTAGTCATGTGATAATACCACAGGTCAAGGGGTATGTGGTGACAATTGGAAAACTGAATCAAAGCAGTTAGGATCCGGATATTGGCGAGACAGTAACTCAGTCGCCAACTGTCATGATATGTAATGTTGGTGTTGATGAGAATAATCTTTTCTTCGTCTTCTTCTTCTTCTTCTTCTTATTCTTCTTCCTCTTCTTCTTCTTCTTCTTCTTCTTCTTCTTCTTCTTCTTCTTCTTCTTCTTCTTTTTCTTCTTCTTCTTCTCCTTCTTCTTCTTCTTCTTCTTCTTCTTCTTCTTCTTCTTCTTCTTCTTCTTCTTCTTCTTCTTTTTCTTCTTTTTCTTCTTCTTCTTCTTCTTCTTCTTCTTCTTCTTCTTCTTCTTCTTCTTCTTCTTCTTCTTCTTCTTCTTCTTCTTCTTCTTCTTTTTCTTTTCTTTTTTTCTTCTTCTCTTCTTCTCTTCTTCTTCTTCTTCTTCTTCTTCTTCTTCTTCTTCTTCTTCTTCTTCTTCTTCTTCTTCTTCTTCTTCTTCTTCTTCTTCTTCTTCTTCTTCTTCTTCTTCTTCGTATGTAAGTGGATGTATGTATGTATTGGGTGCTTATGAGTTTGTGTGTGTGTGAGTGAGTGAATGGGTTTGCGTGTGAATGTGGATGTGTGTGTTCTTCTTCTTCTTCTTCTTTGGTCTTGTTCCAGAATTTGTGTTTTTCGTGCACATCTATTTATATATCTGGCTTCTTTGTATGCAGACTGTTGGTTCCTCGCGTCTCAGGCAGATGGACTCCAAATTTGAGTGAAACACCCTTAGCTAGTCGTCTTTTACTACATGCTTGCTGGGGATGGGGGCATTGGGTCTATTCTTTTGTCCACGATAAAAAGGCCACGGAACTTTACAAGCAAGGCAACAACAAAACCTCTAGGCTTATCAAGACCACACAAGCATCCCTAGAAAACATAACACCGAGCAGATAAGGAAGAAGCCAGGGCATACAACGTTTCACGAGCAAACAACAATTGTCAAGAACAAGCGTTAACTCCGCTATCAAATCGTGTCGAAGAAACTCGGAAACCAGCCCAAAGTCTGACGACTCTGCTCATAGGACAATGACCAAACTGGCACAAACATCCTCACCTGCAATATTCTTCGTGAAAAGTCTTCGGTCGGAGCCAAATCAATCAATCAACCAATCAGTCAATCAGTTAATCAGTCAATTAATCAAATAATCAAAGTCTTCGGTCGGAGCCAAATCAATCAATCAACCAATCAGTCAATCAGTTAATCAGTCAAATAATCAAATAATCAATCACCCAATCACTCACTCAATCAAACACTTAATCGATTAATTAGTCAATCAGTTCAATCAATAAATCAATCAAGCGAACGATCTGTCAAGTTCCTCTTTCTCTGTGAGTTCCGAAATGTCTTTTTTTTAGTATAGACCCACTCCTTCCTCCCCCAAGCATGTCGTAGGACGAGACTAATGATGGGTGTTTTCTTCACAGTTGTAGTGCGTCTCCCTGAGAGACGGGGAACCAACAATCTGCTCACAAAGAAGCAAGATCTGTAAAACAGAAGTGCATGCAAAACTCAAGTCCAGAAGTGGACAAACAACCAGAACTTTCCGTCGGAGTTTTACAGCCGGTGAACGTGACGCGGCAGTAGCTCTGTGGCCACAGCGAGGTTTGTGGCATTGGATTTCCAACAGTTCCTGTTGAACTGTAAATGACTGACTGACTGACTTTCTACCCCACCAGGACAACACACAAGCGATAAACACCCGATGACACAATGTGCCACCATGTGGATGAGGATCACCGTGGAGAGGTCCCAGAAACCGCGTTCAGCTATTACACCATATTTATGGCCGGGCTATATTGCGGCCCCTGGTAAGAGCCAGAGTAGGGCTTCAAACAACGAAAAATTTCATCCTAAAAAGGACGAGAAGTATCTTTTTACTATTTACTGAAAATGAATATTTTTTACTGACTGGCTGTCAGACGTTCAACCCCACCAGGAAGGCACAAAAAGCCTTTAACTCCCGGTGATACAAAGTGTGACTAATTCGGATGAGAATCCCCAGAAGGTTTGTCCCATAAATCCTGTTCAACCGTTAGGTTATGTAAAGGCTGCCGACAATAGCCGAAATTTGAGCTTTAAAATTTTTTTTTTTTTCATTGCGTCCCATATTGGGGTGCGGGTACTATTCGAAGTTTCTCTCTATCTATATACTTGTACCCCACCAGGACATCACACAAGCGATAAACACACGATGACACAAAGTGCCACCATGCGGATA